GTGTGTGTGTGTGTGTGTGTGTGGGGCAGGGGGGAGCGAAAAAATAAATCAGTGAGGGGCTAAGAGAGTATCAACAATAGTGGGGTGCTCCATGGCAGCGGGACATGGGGTGAGGGGCAGAGTGCAGCAGTGAGTGAGGGGCAGAAGGTAGTGGAAGAAACTTGCGGATTGAGAGATGGTGTGTACAGAGAAAGGGAACAACACTTCGCTCTCGGTGCGCTCTGAGCTGTGACAACAGGTTTTGGAAGTGAAGAGGAAAAGAGATATGAGGAGGAGAGAAAACAAGCTGAAGAACCGATGAGGGTGAGAAAGCAAGAGCACACACACCTCAGAGAGAGAGAGGAGTGGCAGTGCTAGTGTCTGGGAGAACAACAAGTGGCACTAGTTTTTAGCTTGGGAAACCTGGTCAGCATGGACTAGTTAGACCCAAGGATCTGTTTCCATACTGCATGGCTCCACGACTTTAAATAAATGACAGGGATGAGCTGGGTGTGGTAGAATGGAGGAGGAGGCAAGTCTGACCAGTGAGGAAACACAAATGTGATGGCAGGCAACGAGAGGGGATGTGCAGCATCGAGAAAGCATAAGATACAGACAGGAAAGTGAAATCAGGTGCTGGGGAGAATAAGGCAGAGAGACAACAGGAGTGAACAGTGGTGGAGCACAGAGAGATTGTGAAGGAGGTGATAACATCATTGGCAGCAAGGAGGGGCCAAAGGGCAGGAGGCAAGAGAAATAAGATACTGGAGAATAAATCGAAAAGAAACATCAGGAATACAGAATGCGAAAAGAATGAATGCTAACCTTTCTGTGCTTTGCATTTGCAGAATGGGATTTTTGATACAAAGCCATTTTTACTGCCTGCCTATATTGATGCAAAGTCAGGTACAGCATATTTCACATCCAGCCACCCCCTCCATTCCTGCTGTCAGTGTGAGTTTGCCACTTGAAGAGAGCTGACAAGATGGAAGTCCTTACCTTTTTTGGCCAGGCTTTTATATCACATCCTTCCTGGCTTCATTAACACTGCACAAAGTGTTTTTGGCCACTTGCACATTTGGTATTTGATCCTCAGCCAAAAAAAAAACAGGGCACTGCGTTCAAGTGCAGTACAGTACAGAAGCTGCCCAAACTGATGCAATGGCAAGACAGACACTCTGTAACGACCACGTTTACTCAAGCTGGCAAATAATTGTGTAAAGACGTACAAATCAGGGCTTGAGACCCCAGCTGCAATGTTATATTGAAAGATTAACAGAGTTGGTAAAACTGTTACAGACGTTCAAATGGGGAAACTTTGGAGCCCACATTAAGTAGATTCAACAATTTTCTGAATTGAGAGACACTCAAAACAGTGAAGTAGCAGAGGGAGCAAGAGAAAGACAGCTAACTTTTTAATGCCAATATAACTTCTGTGGATCTCTGAAATGAGAGGATCCTATTGGCCTTGAAATACTAAGTATTTTTCTCTTTACAGATGCTGCCTGACTGGCCGAGTTTCTCCAGCATTTGTCATTCATTTTCAGATCTCCAGCATCTGCAATGTTTTGCTTTTGTGATGATTTAGGGGATCAAGCATCCACATCATATAAAGCTAGTGCACGAGTACAAACAAAATTATGAAAAGGCTAATGGAATGTTGGCCTTTATCCCCAAGTGGCTGGGATAAAGATGTTTGACCATTGTAGAGCTCTGGGTAGACATCTGCTGTATTCAATTTGCCTCAGGATGGCCTTGGAGGGGATGCATTGCAGATTCTCCAAAATTCTACGAGAATTTAAAGGGTTATACGAGGACAGGTTGAAAATGGAAATATAAGGGGTGATCTAATTGAAGTGATGAAGATGAGTGAAGGATTTAATAAGGCATATGGAAAGCAACAGGAGATCCTTATCATACTACAGCTTGATATTTGATATCAGGAATCTTCATTCAAGGGCTAGTAGAAATCTGGAACTCTTTCCCCTACCCTAGCACTATTTACCACGTCCTCCAATCACACCCAAAAAAAAACCCAAAAATTCTGTTGAGGCTGGTGGTCAGCTGGAAATTTCAGAACTGATTCTGGCCATTTTTTCTTTTGTTTGGTTGAAGTAACTAAGAGATAGGGAACCAGGCAGGTAAACAGAATTAAAGTACAGTGCAGTCAGGTCTAACTGAATAGTCAAGTTCCCAAATTGTTTTCTCTTGTTGCTAGACTGACTGGAGGTGACATGTTGAATCAACATTATGGGACTTTCCTTGCTGTCCAGTGGACAGGAGCACACGTTTGCCAGGCTAATGATAAATCATATTCTGCTTTGTGTTCTCATGAGGAATTATTCATCTAGATGACACACCCACACACTCACACACACACACACACCACACACCACACACCCCCCCACACACACACACACAATCTGTCAGCAGTCACACTCCACCAGTTCTCTGGCCACCTCCGACCACGTTGTTACTGACTCGACTCTGTCACACTTGGGATTTGGGGCTGGAACAGTTCAGCAACTTTCACCCATAAACAAATGGAAGGGTGTAATGACTGAAGCAATGACTGACCAGTCGGATGTGAAGGATTGGGTAAAGTTGACCACAATGAACGCAGTAAATTATTCTGCAGCAGAGTCAGTGGGGAGTTTTTGTGATCGATAGTCATGCTTTTCTTTCTGGACAGTAAATTGCAAGATTAAAAGCAATCGTTTGCTTCTATCAGTTAAGATAGAGTTGACTAACTTTTAGGGAAAACTAGGGTGACTCACTGCAGTCTTTTCAAAAAAAAACTCTATGAAGAGAACACTGCTTTGAAATAATATCCTTAATAGTTACCAACCACTTAAAATATTTGAGCTTAGTTAAGTTAACCTTGGCACTGTTTCCAATATTGTGTCCAACTCATTGTTTGCTCCCTGAGCTCAAAAAGATGGCTTCAGGAAGCTATTTGATCAATGTAAACCTGATCAAGTCCTAATCTGTTCATAACCACAACTGCATCTACCAGCAAGGGCCAACTAGATATAAGCAACAGTTAGAACAGACTGATTCTTCCCCCACTTCCCTAGTCTTGGAGCTACTGAAAGCAAAAGGAGGTCACTGAATGGTCATTAGATCATTCAATGAGGCGCATTGGATTCAAACCTGGGATCCTCTCGTCACTGCTACTGGCAGTGCCTTTACTCAAGTCATCAATAGGAGGAGCTAGCATTGTCCATTTATTCAGGTTTCAGAGTTCCGAATGTGAACAGTCCCAAACTACACAGCACTAGACTCACATCAGCATCGTCTATCAGGAGAAAATTTCTGCACTCGGAGCCGGATCATTCAGGAAAGACAGCAATGCTATGGAGAACAGGCATGTAATGTCATACACAGACCAGGAGACACAGAGTAAATACAATTCACTTTATCAAAGGGTTTTCATTCACAAAATGTGTACGTTTGGGCCATAGATATACAAGTAGCAAATGAGGCCAAAAAAAAAGAAAATCTTATTAGATTTTAGTGCCCCTCCAATACCTTTGATTAAAAGATAACTGGATTATTGCCAGAGTGACTGCTGGATTTGAGACTGTGCTATACTCTAGTATAATGTGCAGAGAAATCCAGCATCTACACTTGGTTTCTGCATGTCCTGCAGACATGTGACACATAATCACTTGCCATTGGGCACTTGGCAATCATGCACAACGTGTCAGCTTGAAATCCTGTTATTTGTTTCGAGTTAATACTTGAGTCACAGGGGTGGGGGAGGAGAAACGACAAGACTTTGTAAATAACAAGGGAAAACGTTTCGGTCCTGACCCTATTTTCAGTTGCACTATGTTGGCAGACCAATGTCAAACTCAATGTTTGTTAAGTAGGATTTTGGAATTTTCCTCTACTTTCACTTAAGGAATTATGGCTCACATGACAAGTGTAAGCCCTGTGACATCGGGAGACACGACTGAAAATAGTAATTTAGTGGAAACGTCATCCATTATCAAAGAGCCTGAGCACCCTACACACATCAATGGTTTCAGTACTAAAACCTGCAGTTCATATTTGGAGTCCTGCAAGTTACCAAAGTAAGGCAAACATAGGTAAACAAGTATAGAAACAGAAACAAGATTTGTTAGAAATCCCTCCCCATTCCCCAACAATATTCTACTGTTTCACTGCAGCATTCCGTTGCCAAGTCTGTCTGAGGTAGCGCTGACCGAAGGCTTGCTTGGCAACGGAAGCTAGCATCATAAAATAGTGCAGTAGTAAAAGTAACTAGACCAGGAAGTGGAGGCATCACCCCCGATGAGGTCGTAGGTGGAGTCCCGTGATTGGTCGTGCAGCCTGTTGTCAGGAGTAATGATTGTAGAGAGGTGGGGCATGGAGAGTGCCATTCTGGAAATAGTGCTGTCGAGATGCCATGTACTCAGTGTAGCTGATTGTTACTTTCTCACTGCGGTACCTGAGGAGAAAGAAAACAGAATTACAGCAAACTTTGTTTTAACCAAACCCTTATCAACTGGCACACTTGGTAAACCAGCAAAAAAAATTACATATACACACATTAAAAACCGCAGTTATATTGTAAAGTATAACAGTGATGTGTATATCCCCTGCATTATGTTTCTGTTGCTGTGAGATTTGACATTGATTATAGGAGATGCATTGATGTTTTTTACATAGGTCTTTTGAGAGATACTGATGCCTCGAAGCTTGGGTTGGTCGGGTTGGGAAGTATTGATTATCCGGAATAAGTGACACACCCCGAGTCCCATAGGTGCCAGTTAATAAAACCTTTGCTGTACATTAATGTGGCTGCAACTGGTCAGACTCAAAACAGGCAAGTGGCATAGTTGAGATAACAAGGTGTAGAGCTGGATGAACACAGCAGGCCAAGCAGCATCATAGGAGAAGGAAGGCTGACGTTTCGGGTGTACACCCTTCCCCTCCATTCCTAACCTTTGTTTTCTGAAAACACAGTGTAATGATCAGATATTAGCCCAGATGCAAGGCTAGCCCACATTAACTTCCCAAAAGCAGCTAATTTCTTTGAGGGAGCCTCGGGGAGTGAATGTGAGCAGGCCATATAAATTATAACAGAATTTAAGTTGATTCCAATCCTTTGGGGAAGCCAGTATCCACAAGTGAACTGTTATCCAGCAGAAATTGGCAATGATTACTCTCCCCAGCCTCAACACCAGGGCTGTCAGTGTGGAAACAGGCCCCTCGGCCCAACAAGTCCACATCAACCCTCAGACCCATCCCCCTATAACCCATCCCTGAACACTACGGGCAATTTAGCATGGCCAATCCATCTAACCTGCACGTCTTTGGACTGTGGGAGGAAACCCACGCAGACATGGGGGAAATGTGCAAACTCCACACAGACAGTTGCCCAAGGGCGGAATCGAACCCTATCCTTGGCGCTGCGAGGCAGCAGTGCTAACCACTGAGCCACCTTGATTGCAGTGGCCCAACTGCTGCTCTGAACGAAGGTTAGATAATATGTCACAAGGGAGAGAGTGAGAGGGAGAGAAAGAGGGAGAGATCGAATCAGATAGTATTGTCCAACATCTGACTTAAATCAATTAGCAGTTTGAAAGAAACTTCAACTTACTGATCAGGTTTTCACCGTGTCACAGGGTTCAAAATCAGCTTCAGGTGGTGCCAGGAAAATACAAATAGGATCTTGGCTGGAATTCTAGACTGACGACTGACCAGCAGGATACCAATGATTCCTCACCATATGGGTTGTGGGAGTTCTCCCATCTTATAGGGCTATCCCCGACTTTTGGCTGATCTAATGAAGGTTATGACCATGGAAAAACTTTTCACCTTGTGGCATGTCAGACTATTTGCACAAAATCTTTCCACTGTTTCCAATGGAACAGCATGTGAAGATTCAAGAGGTGATCACTTTCAAAGAGAGGCAACTGGATTCAAGGTCCCCATTCTTAAGTTAGAATTTTCATCTCCCATCAAGAAACCTTTTCATTCTCTTCCCCATTAGGTCAGCACCAAAAACCATGAATGGTCAGTACTGCTGTGTAGCTAGAAATGATACAGACCTGAAACATTGACCTGTCTTTTCTCTTTTTACAATGCTGTCAGACCTGTTTGCAGGGGGATTGTCTCATCTTTCCTGCTTATTATTTCAGGCATTTGAAGGTGTGAGATATTGTGTTATAGGTCTCTTTACTAACTCATTCACCAGCTCACTATATTTACTAATGCCGTATTCCCATTCATTTCATATTTACTAATGCCACATTCCCATTCATTCATAACCCTTTACTAACTCAGTGTTTATTATAACACATTTTCATTCATTCATTAATAAAACTGCAATTTTTGTAGTGCAATTTACTATTGCGAGAGCGACTAAATTAAAACATTCCTTCCAAACCCATTACTGCTTCTTCACACGTTCAACACTTCCAGGCCTATTTATATCAAAAGCTACCTCTGAATAAATATCAAAGACTACTAACCTATTCGGAAACCATATCCTTACTGCCATCATGACTCCATGGCCGACATAAAACTATGAAAAAATTATGACATTAATCAGCCCCTTGGCAACCGTCTCTTGAGACTTGAATAGGTTGCAGAACATCAAACAAGTTTCCTCCACTAGCATGCACCTGTTAAATACACACTGAAAAGGGCATCTGTCCTGCCAGGATAGCTCAGTGGGTAGAGCACCAGGTGGTTAATCCTTGTTCAGGTGCCGATTTTAAGTCAGAGTTGCCTATGCCAGTGTACAACCCTTTAAGAAAGTTATGATCAAAACAGCGCTTCTGTGAAATTGCATGAATGAATGAAACTCCCACTTGCAAATAGTAAACAAAATCTCACGGCCCAGCTGCGGCGATCAGTTTAATACCCTTTACACTTCTATTTAGTGCATGTATAATTTCTAACTTATTGAGATCATACAGGTCTAATATTTTTACTAACATTTACTAACTTAAAAGATAAGAGGACGAACACCTCTTAATTATGCAAGAAGACTGGACAGACACTCTAATCCAAGTAGCAGCCAGCACTTAGCAAATGTTTAAACAATCTCCTGCTTCCCCAGGACAGATGTCACACAAACTTCTGTGTACCACAGATAAAACTGTGTAACACCATAGTGACAGAATTTTAATATATGTAAGAACTGTATGTGAAGAGACTACTGTAAGAACTGTACTTCGGGATTCCATCGCTGCCTCAAACTGTGATACTGTGGATGCTCAATAAAGAGGCTATTTTCACCACTCACTGTTTTCAGTCATTATTTAAAACATGATCCCACGAACATTATTTCCATTTCTGCTTTCATGCTGTTTTCTTTACCCCTTCAATTCTCTGGCATAGGAGGGAAGGAGAGTTACTTCTATCCTTCAGCCAACTAGATTCAAGTGATCGAGATGACCTATTGATCCAAATTCACAGAATCACAGAATTGCTACGGCACAGGAGGCGGCCACTTGGCCCCTTGTGCCTACACAATGGCATGGTCAAGAGCACCTGGAATGTAGAAAGCAATGTTTCAATGTTTCCTTGAATGCGGGATGCGGAGTGGCTAGAATAGGAGATTTACCACATCATACCTGTTCTGAGCACAAGCGTAAGGGAGCTTTATCCTGCATCCAATCTGTTTTACGGTTCTCCTAGCTGCGTGTTTCATAAAATATTACCGGGGCTTAGTGGTAGAACGCTCACACCCCATCAAATCAGAGGCTTGAGAGTTGAATTCCATTCCAGAGAACTGATCACATAAGCCGAGAGAGTGATACTTCACTGCTGTACTAAGGGAGTGCTGTATGGTCAGAGGTGACAGCTTTCAATGAGATATCTCCCTGCGCGTTGAAGTAGATGCAGATTATTCCACACTTATTCACAGAGCAGAGGAGTTCCTCAAGTGTCTTTATCCCGCGGCTATTATCACCAATTTTGTGGTCATGCATTTTGTTTCTGTTTTGAGAAATCTTACTCCACACAAAGTATCTGACACGTTTCCCTACATTATAATACTGACTACATTTCAACAGTATTTCATTAGCTATGGCATGCTTCGAGATGTCCTTTCAGTACGGAATGTTTGCAGGAAGAGCTACATCTTGCACCTAGCCTACAGCATAGTGCTGTTATCGAACCCTTCCCGAGACAGTGTCAAATGGGGCCTCAGGAAGCGCTTGAAGCAGCACTGTAGGAAATCGAACTTGCACAAAAAATCCAGGGCTTTCTAAACATAACCCCATTGCCTGTAACCCAATTACATTCAAAGGCTGAGCCTGAAGCTAATGTGCCTGCACCAGTGCTGGAGAGAGTCACCAGTCCAGAGCCCTTTAAGCACAGGGTGCACTATTCAGCAACTACTGTCCACTCCACCCGTGCATGTTGGTAATAGCAGGCATTATTCATCTGCATTGCTTGAACATCTGTGTTAGACATATTATACCAATAGCAGCTGAGAAGGTTATCAGATATGAAAGTTGTGAAAATTTTCCACCTTCAAAGGGTTGTGTTGCTTTCTACTTGCCATACCTTGGAACCTCGCTCATAAACAACAGGGTGGTGACTAGATGGCAGGGTGTGTGGCTGGATGGGCACAGCAGGCCAGGCAGCATCGGAGGAACAGGGAGGCTGGCTTTTCGGGTCTGGACCCTTCTTCATCTTTTTTTCTGAGGAGGGTTCCAGACCCGAAGTGTCGGCTTTGCTGCTCCTCTGGTGCTGCCTGGACTGCTGTGTTCATCCAGCTCCACACCTTGTTACCTCAGCCTCCAGCATCAGCAATTCCTACTGTCTCAGGGTGGTGACTAGAGAGCTTTCAATCAACATAAAGGATAGCACAGTTTAAATAAATATTTAATTCATATCTAACAATGAAATGAAAGTAAATACGTTACCCTGAAAAAATGTCAAGATGTTGATTAGCTCAGATAACTAGATGGCTCGTTTGCAGTGTACATTGATGTCACAGCGTGAGTTCAGTTCCCACACTGGCTAAGTTTACCGTTGAAGGACGATCTCTCCCAACATCATCCCTAGTCTGAGGAGTGGTGACCCTCAAGTTAAGCCAGAGGCGATGGCCTAGTGGTATTATCGCTGGACAGTTGATCCAGATGACGTTCTGGTGACCCAGGTTTGAATCCCGCCAGCAGATGATGGAATTTGAATTCCATAAATATCTAGAATTAAGAGTCTAATGGTGACAGTGAATCAAAGCCTACGACCATTCTAGTCTGAAAACGCCTGATCTTGAAAGTTAAGCAGACTCAGGCCTGGTTAGTACTTGGATGAGAGACTGCCTGGGAATAGCAGGTGCAACAGACTATGCACGGTGGCTCAGTGGTTCGCACTGCTGCCTCACAGCACCAGGGACCTGGCTTCAATTCTACCCTTGGGCGACTGTGAGTGGAGTTTGCACATTCTCCCCGTGTCTGTGCGGGTTTCCTCCCACAGTCCAAAGATGTGCAGACTAGGGGGATTGGCCATGCTAAATTGCCCATAGTGCCCAGGGATGTGTAGATTAGGTGGGTGAGACGGGGATGAGTCTGGGTGGGATGCTCTGAGGGTCGGTGTGGACTTGTTGGGCCAAAGGGCCTGTTTCCACACTGTAGGGATTCTATGATCTATGATCTTTGAACAAGCGACATCAAAATCTCAGAACTCAGCAATCCAAACTGAAGAACAACCACTTATCAATCCACAGGATTCCACACACGTTTGTAACACTTTGTAACAAACAAAGAAAAAGCTTGACGGAGACAATCCAATCTGTGTACATATTAGTAGTATCATCTTGTTGCTTGTCTGATCTACTTTCGTACCACAACTTAAAAAGAAATGTACTGTTTAGTAACCATAACCTGTATTAGAGAATCTCAAATGTGATATTTTCAGAGTGAAGACAGAATCCTATAGGAACTTCAATGCACAACATAACTACAAACTAGGGTAAACTGTTAGTTTTCTGGGCCCCAGAAATATATTCAGGGAGCACAAAGGTGCTACGTCATCAACGAGTACATTGCTACAACTGTCGTGAGGCAAGTGGTTCCAAAGTATGACCATAACACATTATAGCTGCCCCAAAAAGTCAAGGAGTAAGCGGCATGCATACCTGAAACAGATTTCAATTCCCTTGTGAACTCCCCTACTGCCCCAACTGAAACAATGAATACATCCCCACCCTAACACCAGTTTGTTATGCCACTCCTAAAACTATTGGGTAGCCCAATAAACAGCCCCAATGTCCAAGACCCAAATCAGCAACTGACTTCACTTCTGGCAATAAAACTCAAGCAAGAAAGGAGGCCACTTGACCAATTGCAGATGCTCCAGAATCAAATAGGGATAAGCACGTGGTTGAGATGCAAAACCAATAAAGGGCACTTTGCATACCTGCAATGGACCCAAACCAAACCTGAACAATATAAAGGGATTCCTCCCTCTTGAACTACTCCTACCTTATCTGCCTCAAGCTTCATCATATAGGAGCCATGGCCAATGTGCATTTGAGCTCTCTATATACAGGTAACCCATCGCTGGTCTTTATTCAGAAGCATGCGTCTTATTGGCCTCCAATACTGATACACTGTTTAGAATAAACAGCTTTACTGTGTTACTCACCTGGTGAGCTTGATTGCTTTCCTGAATTCATTTGTGATTGGAGCTTTGTAACCTCCTTTTCGCAGAAGAGAGTCTATGGTTTGAATCTGGTCCCAGTCTACAAAGCAAGCACACACACAGGTAGTGCCAGGGACACAGGTCAGTGCCGCGAAATCAGCTAAAGCCCATAGTGAGGTTCCTATATCAGTTAAACGGCCACATGCAAGTTAATATATCCAAAGTAACAAGATAAAGGGAACACAAAGTTGCCCGCTGGAAGAGGGTGAACTAACGGGAGGGGAGGTTTTGAACACCGTCGGGATGGTGAACACACTTTTGCTGGGGATGGAGCCGGTATTCACTGTTCACAGTGGCATGTGCAGAGCGTTGTCAGGCGGGGAGGGCTGAATGCCATCAGGAGTGGGTGGTGGAGAGCATCGTGAGGGGGGGTGTGGGTGAGGTGGAACAGTGACAGGAAGGAGCTGCACATCAGCTAATTCACTTAGAGACTCCTCAGTAGCCTTTATACCTGTTAAGAAAAGCTCTATGCAAATCCAAGTGTAATCTAGGGTAGATGGGGGCAAACAGCCCAAGTCTGGAAATTACCCTCTTACAGCGCCGTCCTGAGGAACCAGGTAGAATACAACCAGCAACTGGAATTCCAAACTTCCAGAGTAAGTACGGCACATGCACGCATGTCAGGTTTTCCTCAGTTCCCTGAGGCCCGCCAGGAAGTCAAGTCAAGCAATCTGCCACCAATCCACTGGAAATGTTAATGTTGCTTCTCTATTACCAAACTACTAGATTCAACATGCACAAAATGGTTAGCAGTCATCCTTTAAGGAAAATCCCAAGGCATTTTATACATATAAGCAGCAAGAGGGTAGCTAGGGAAAGGGTTGGTCCACTCAAGGACAAAACAGGGAATTTATGCATGGAGCCAGAGGAGTCACTGAGGTCCATAACGAATACTTTGCATCAGTATTCACAAAGGACATGGTGGATGGTGAGTCTAAGGAAGACAATGTTAATATTCTAGGGCGCGTCAATATGAAAACAGAAGTGGTTTTGGGTGTTTTGGAAAGCATCAAGGTAGAAAAGTCACCAGCTGGGATCTATCCCAGAATGCTGAAGGAGGCAGGCAGTTGAAGAAATTGCTGGGGCCTAGAATGAAATCCTCTTTAGTGACAGGAGAAGTCCCAGAGGACTGGAGAATAGTCAACATGGTTCCTTTGTTTAACAGGGACAACAGGAATAATCTAGGAAATTACAGGCTGGTGAGCCTTACATCAGTGGTAGGGGAATCATTGGAGAAGATTCGTAGGGATAGGATTTGCTCACATTTGGAAACATATGGACTTATTAGCGATAGGCAGCACGGCTCTGTGTGGGGAATGTCATGTCTCAGAAGTTTTTGTTAAGGAGGTTACAAGGATGACTGTTGAAGTGAGGGCGCTAGATGTTATCTATATGGGCTTTTGCAAGGCCTTTGACAAGTTCCCTCTTGGCAGGCTGATACAAAAGATGAAGTCACATTGGATCAGTGCTGGGACTCATGTTGCTTGTAATTCATATCCACACACATAAATATTTGGAGGACAATGTAGGAGGCCTAATTGTAAGTTTGAGGATGACACAAAGACTGGGGGAGTTGTGGACAGTGAGGAGGATTGCCAGAGGATACAGCAGGGCATCGATAGGCTAGTGACTTGGGCAGAGAACTGGCAGACTGGGTTTAATCCAGACAAATGCATGGTGATGCATTTTGGAAGGTCTAATGCAGGAGAGGAGTATGCAGTAAATGGCAGAACCTCAGTAGCATCGACATGGAGTGGGATCTAGGCAAACAGGTCCATAGTTCCCTGCTGGATAAGGTGGTCAAGGCAGCGTATAGCATGCTTGCTTTCATCAGTCAGCGCATAAGTATAAAGATTGGCAAATCATGTTGCAGATGTATGGAACTTAAATTAGGCTACATTTGAAATACAGTTCTGGTTGCCACACTACCAGAAGGATGCAGAGGCTTTGGAGAAGGTACAGAAATCGTTTACCAGGATGTTGCCTGGTTTGGAGAGTATTAGCTATGAGGAGAGATTGGACAAACGTTGTTGTTTTCACTTAAATTCAAAGGTTGAGAGGCAACCTGGTAAAGTTTACAAAATTACGAGAGGCATGGATAGAATGGACAGTCGGAGTCTTTTTCCCAAGGTAGAAATGTCAATCACTAGGGGACATAGATTAAAAGGAATAAGTTTAAAAGGAGATGCGAGAGGCAGGTTTTACTTGTCTTTCACACAGAGGGTGGTAAATGCGCGGAATGCACTACCACAGGTGGTGGTGGAAGTGGATACAATAGCAACATTTAAGAAGCATCTTAACAGATACATGAATATACAGGGTATAGAGGGCTACGAACAGCGAACAGGCAACAGATTTTTCGTCTGGAAAGGCATCATGTGTCGGTGCATTTTTGGTGGGCTGAAGGGCCTGATCCTGTTCTTTACTCTTTCCTGGCCTTGAATAAACATATGCAGAAACAAGGGGTTAATAGATTCACTAGGCTGGCATTCACACTTACCCTGTTCCTTGGCCACTTCTGGTAAATATGTTGCAGTGCGTTTTGCTCCCTTTTCATTCACAAACTCTATCCGAATCCCATGTACTCCCACCTAAACACAGATTCATCTTGATTACTATGAGAAAACAAAATACATTTTACCAGCCATTGCTGCAAGCAAATGCCATCTTACATACAGCACCAGGCCTATACTAATCTGTTTTTCAAACGTTTTACAAAAGGGTCAAGTGGCTGACTTTATTTGAAACAAAACAGGTCCTGTGATGGTTCATGCAGAATGGGGCCATGCAACTTGAAAAGTCCCAGGTGAATCCCATATTTGCTGGTCTCAGCAAAGGCACTGGAAATTGCAAAAACATCAGCCTCAGATGCTCACCTCAACTTTTTAAAAACGCAAGGAACTCAAATCAACTTAAATTTGACCCTTTAAACTCTGGTGTCCTCCAAGTGATTTTTTTTTTGCTATACCTGTTCCAAAGCCAACATTCTTCCCATACATCAGTGCCTGAAACTGAACACAATACTGTAAGTCAGATAGGGGTCAGGCCAAGGAGACTCTGGAGAACTAAAGCAGCATTTCCTTTTTCTGATGTTACAACGGTCTTAGAGATGAAGGGAAACTTTCCAATCACTTTTGCTCATTACTGTTGATATCTATGCACTGGCCTTTAGTGCTTTGTGTACACAGATATATCTAATTAAATCCCTTTGTTCCTCTCCCGCCTGCAGTGTGGGGACACTGAACATATTCTAACTTGTCTTTCTCAGATTCAAAACAGGTGACCTCGCAATTCCCCATACTGAATGTATCGGCTACAGTTTGGTCCACACATGGTCTGTCACTATGTCTTTTTCCCAACTTCTTTCACCAAACTTATTGTCTAACTTTGTGCAATCTTGGATATGAAACCAAGATCTTGATCATTAATGAGCCCCATTGTCAGTTAGGTGTGACAATTCTTCATTAGCAGCATGCGTTTGAACAGTGAACAATTTCATTAAAGGCATCCGAATTCTCATTTTGAGGTGAATATTGTCCTGACAGTGAACTTTCAGGTCAGTCTGGTAAGAAGCTGCCACCTAGTGTCCAATCGCAGATTCCTATTATTGGAGCCATCTCCCTCTCACACACGTCTCAAACTCACACAGAGTTGTTCAATTTTGTGCATTATTTGTGCTGTTGTTTAAAACAAAGAAGTCATCTGTCACACGACCAGAACTGGAGAGTGGCTTAACTGAATCCTTCAGTAAAATAAAACAAAGAACTGCAGATGCTGGAGATCTGAAACACACAAACAGAAATTGCTGCAGAAACTCAGGAGGTCTGGCAGCAACTGAGCAGAGAGAAACAGAGTTAACATTTCAGTCCAGGGAGTCCATTAACTGTCCTTCAGTAAGATGTTTGAAAAGGAAGAAAATTAATACTTCAAAGTTGTACATGGAAATCAGGAGGTCATGACAGGACACATTAGCAAAACTCAGACTTGATTCTTTCATTGACGGAAAGGATAATGTAACGTTCACTTTCAGGGAACACAGCTGAGCCACCAAGTGGTAGTATTACAGCGCAGCAGTTGGTGCTCCCTTTTACCACTAGCTCCAGGGAGCGGGGCAGGCCCTTGCTGACCTTGGGAAAAGTGGGTGGGAACATTGAAATTGGGTCTCCCTGTTAGGTGAAAGGACAAACCGCCACTATTTCATTCTGTAGGTTCAGCACCGATTTTTGACAGCAACCCACCAGTATCCCACATCCCATTTGCTGTATGAGCTTTGGAGGGTTAGTAACTTTTCTATCCTACATCTCACAAGGGACTCCATGTATGCAATGGACATTAATTAGACAGTGATCAGCTTGTAGGGCTCCACACCAATTGCCATTCCTCCCCTCTGTTCAACTACCTTGAGGCATTCAGCAGGGCCTCCTTCAGAGATTGTACCTGCTGTACAACCTCATTCTGGAGGTTTGCATCTGCAGTCAATGATTCAGTTTGGGTTCCTGTAAGCATAGGACATAACTTTATTTCGGTCTAGCCTGGTGTTTATCAGCAAACGGGAGACCTTTTTCCCCCCTCTATTAGTAAATATTCTCAACCTCCCACAGAGAATCACTGCTTTACGTAAAGATTTCCCCGATGTCTGGCCATTCTTTCGCCAACTGGAGCATCAATTTCTGGACATAAAGAAGCCTGAGACTTTCTTTCCTAGACACAGTCATGCCTTTGCTTTATAGGAAATGACCAATGACTGCCAACTAAAATTAAGTACGAACAAATCAATTAAACATTCAATAACCAAATACAAACGATCCATGGGATTTGACCCTCGGTGACAAGTTCCTTCTTTCAGTCAATGTTGGGGTCTCCAAGGGTAAACTTGTATAGATCATGGTTTTTCAAAGTCTTCTGCTATATTGAGAACCACAGAAACTGCAGACACATATCTGTACAACCTTGCAGTATGTCATGTTCCAGTGATCCCAGAGAAGCAATGGACAATCGAGAAACCATAGCTAGACCTTTAAAGCTGCAAATTCAAGGGGAGGCAATGGCCTAGTGGTATTATTGCTGGACTGTTAATCCAGAGATCAAGGTAATGTTCTGGGGACCTGGGTTCAAATCCCACCACGGCAGATAGTTGAATTTGAATTCATTAAATGCCTGGAATCAAGAGTCTAATGATGACCATGAATCCATGGTCAATTGTTGGGAAAAACCCATCTGATTCACTAATGCCCTTTAGTGAAGGAAACTGCCATTCTTACCTGGTCTGGCCCACATGTGACTCCAGACCCACAGCAATATGTGGTTGACTCTTAACTGCCCTCTGTGCAATTAGGGATGGGCAATAAATGCTGGTCTAGCCAGTGACACCCTCATCTCATGAATTTAAAAAAAAAGGCCAGTGTTCTCTGCTTCAGTGCCTGGCTTTACACATTCTGTAGATTTGGAGAAGCACAGCAATCAATGATATTACTGTAGCTGAACAGTTCTTTAGTTTCCTAAATGCACTGCCTGAGGTTACTGGAAACGTCAGATCACTGGTCTGTTCCTTTCTTTGTTAAGACTGCACCGCATGAGCAAGCAGCTTGATTAAAATGTTGGCCTCAAGACAAAGTGACTACCAAGCTTTTGTGCTGTAAACACTGGGTCAAGAGAACAGTAACAGTGATTAGGAAGCTTTTGGACTGAGTCTCTGCAACAAAAATGGCCTGATGGCAACTGCTGTAAGTAACAAACTGCTGCCTGAATTGCTGCATTCTTAATCAAACTGTTACCTGACCAGGGTTCTGTTCAATTCAATACAAAGGGGCTGAAATGGGCAAAACCAGCAAGCCTCAAAAGTGGTACTTCAAGCTTACATAAAGCAATCAGACATGCCACAAAGATGCGAGGGACTCGCATCTGAACTGTGCCTAGCAAGTGTGCAAATGTATACTGGCTGAAGGCACAGGATACTGCCAAGACAATTGGGCCTAACATTGTTCCAGCACTAGTGGAGACTTGTACTTCAGAACTTGCCATGCTCCAGTCAAGCTGTTCCAGTACAGTTACTACATTGGCATTACCTGACAATGTGGAAAAACACCCAGTTATGTCCTGTACACAAAAGCTGGACAAATCCAATCCTGCCAATTACCGCCACATCAGTCCACACTTGATCATCAGTAAAGTGTTGGAAGGGGTCATCAGCATTATCGAGTTGCATTTGCTTAGCAATAATCTGATCTGACACTCAGCTTGGGTTCTGCCAGGGCCGCTCAACTCCTGATCTCACTAAAACTGATCCAAATATGCACAAGAACCGAGTGCCAGAGGTTGTATGACAGTAACTGTCCTTGACATCAAGGCCACGTTTGAGTCTAGCATTAGCGTGTCATTGCAAAGCTAAAGTCAATGATAAATCAGAGTGTTTGGAGTCAAACCTGACAAAAGGAAGATAGTTGTTGTTGCTGGAGATGAATCATCCCCACCGGAGTTCCTCCAGAGAATACCCTTGGCCCAACCATCTTCAGCTGCTTCATCTGTAACCTTCTTCCATCACAAGTTCTGACATGGGTAAGTTTGCTGATGATTACAACATTCAGCACCATTCGCAACTCCTCACATGCTGAAGCAGCCCATGTCCAAATACAGCAAGAACCTGGACAGTACCCAGGTTTCGGCTGATAAATGGCAAGGAACATTTGTCACACAAGTGCCAAGCAATTACCATCTCCAATAAGAACGAATCTAACCATTGCACTTAGACATTCAGTGGCATTACCATCATTGAATACTCTATCAATATCCTGAGGGTTACCATTGACCAGAAACCAAATTAGACAAGCAGCTACAATAGCAGGTTAGAAGTTAGGAAGCCAATAATTCATTTCCTGACTCCCTAGAGTCCACTATGTACAAAACTCAAGTCAGGCATGGGAGTCCCACTTGCCTGGACGCGAACACATCTAACAACACTCGAAGCTTGGCACTGTCCAGGACAAAGCAGCCTGCTTGAATGGGAGCACATCCATAAACGTTCACGCTCTCTCCATCACTGACGTACAGTGGCAGCAACGTGCACCATTTACAAGTGGCACTACAGAAATTCATCAAGATTTCTTAGACAGTATCTGTACAAACCCATGAACAATATACCATCTAGAAGGATAAGGACTGCAAATACACGGGAACAAAACCACCTGCAAGCTTCCCTCCATGCCACTCTGAATCCTAACTTGGAAATATATTGCCATTCCTGCAGTGTCACTGGGTCAAAATCCTGGAACTCGCTCTCTAACAGCATTGTGGGTCTACCCACACTAAATGGACTGCAGCAGTTAAAGGAGGCAGGGTAAGGATGGGTAATAAATGCTGGTCCAGGTAGCAATGCCCACAATCCCTGAATGAATAAATGAATGAATTGGCTGACCATCT